CAGGAAAAGGCTGATGGGGCTATTGCTACAACCAGGATAACGACAACAACAGCAAGTCCCCAACTGTTGTTCTCTGACCTTGGGTCACCACTCGAGAGTCAGACGTAGCAGAGCACGGCCAGCGGGTCACGTCGGAGCACGTGCTGTCCTGAGGCGGGGAGGATGGCTGGTAGCGGGAGAGGAGCACCTAGAACTGCCCCCACTACCACTGTCCCCACTAAGACAACACGCAAAGGGCAGGGCCACTTGTCCCAAGGCGCCCAGAGGGTGGACTCTGGCAGCCAACTCAACACATGTCGGCTATCGCCGCCCGCGAACGTCGGCAGTGATAACGACACTGACGCTGGCACCGCTACGCGCCTCTCACGCGCCGTCTCACTGAGTCGTCGCCATAGCCCTGCGGTTGTTACTCCCATTTGGAGATGAGGACATCGAGGCTCAGGGAGACTTGTAACTTGGCCACGGCCACGGGCCAGCGGGCGGCGTGCACAGGACGCGGACTGTCGGACTCTGGGGCTGTACTAACCGCGATGACATTCAGCTTTCTCCTCTGCCGCGGCGCGGGGAGACCTTCGGCAAGTGAGTCAGAGTCTCTGACCCTCAGTTTTCCCGTTCGTAAAACGAGGGCTCCACGGGACGATTTTGAGGGCGCGGGCAGCAGCCTGGCACGGAGGAGGCCGGTGGCAGATGCAGCCAGGCCGAGCGGGTGCCTGGGTCTCAGCCCCGACACAGCGCCCGGGGAACTTGGCGGGCACGCGGTGCCCCACAGTCCGTGCCTGGGGTCTCTCACTTATCTGTGCAGGCTTAGGCAAGTCGCTTTCCGTTGTGGGCCTCAGTTTCCTCATCTGTCAGAGGAGGAGGTCGTAGAGGCAATCTCCAAGGGCACGAAGTGCTGACATCTGATTTTAAGCAGTAAAATACCCGTGCTCACCTCCGGAAGGCATTTCATACGGGCCTCACGATGGCCTTAGAACTGGCCAAATGAATGCTGTAAATTTCCCCTCCTCCGAGGACCTCTCTCCTTCCACACCCTCCTTCTTGACGGCTCACACTTTCTCTGCTTTCAGAGAGATGTTTTTCGAGCATCCCGTGTGGGGGCCCAGGCGACAGCAGCGTGCAGAAGCCCAGCCCCAGCGGTAATCCCAGGCGGAAAGCGAGCGGGAAGAAACGTGCAGGACGGGGGTGCCAAGGAGGAGGCCTCCTCCCCGACTTGCCAGCGGCCAGGATGCGGTGCAGGCCAAGGCCCGGGCCTGGGGGGAGTCCAGCAGGTCCCCCAAGAGGGCATCGCTGGGATCATTCACAGCCCGGGATCTCGCTGGCATCTGGTAGGCGGGGGCAGGCACCGGCAGTGCTCTTGCCTGTTTGTGGCACAAACACAGGCTGAGTTGTTTACGCTGCTTCCTCCTCTCCCCCGCCCCAACTTAGCCTCAGACCAATTGCCATCTATCTTGCAGCCTTAATAGGTATCCAAGACCCAGAATGTGGTCTGTGTGCTATGTGCGGTAATACAAACACTGGATTTGGAGTGGAGGGTATAACTGCAGGATTTGGCAAGACACTGAATAGGACTGCTATATATGGTTGTTCAGGTTGTGCACTGAACAAGAGCACTTTGGGTGATGAGGAGAATGGACCTAAAATCCATCTTGTGCTCTGTTCACCAAGCTGCAATTGCCCAGAGGGGCACATTTTTCCAGGACACACAAAGGTGCCCTATGGGCCAGCAGTGGTCCTGACCTTGAACCTGAGTTTCTGCATCTGTAATGACCCAACCATTTTCTCCTACAGATATATGGTAAGAACATAGTAATATAACCTATGTTAAAGCACCTCATAATTATTTGTAATGAATTATCATTATTTATTTATATAAAGTCTTGTTCCACAAAGGTTTAAAGGCAGCTTATCGAATTGTATATGGTTAAGTAGAAAATATGATTACATACAACATCACACGTTGCATGCACGAGGGGAGGCAGATACGAGTGTATGCACCAGCACGTCCCTTCCCGTGCCAGCGGCAGCCGTCACTAATCGATCGGGGTCGGTGACACACCTCGTCCACGTTCCGAAAGTCGGTTTCCACCTTGGTGTAAAGGAAACGAGACCATCGGTACAGGGTTGTGTCTTCCTGCTACACAGCGGGTCGATAGCGGTAATTATCATAATTTGGGGCCTGTCCGGGGGAGGGCAGGTAAGCTGGATCTGGAAGCCCTGCACTGTCGTGTGTCACCGTTTCAGCCTTAAGCTTCATGGTGGGCGAAACAAAGACGTAAAACTCAGGCGAATGTGTACACGTATGTGCACACATATGATCAGTGTCCGTGGCATAAAATGATACCAGTTTCTCAGACTTCACGCAAATTGTCTACACTGAATTCTGAGTGAATTTTCCCCGTGGTTCCTCCTAACGGGGTCATGCGATGAAACAGAAAACACCCTCGACAGCAGCCCCCTAGTAAGCACACGGGCAGGTTTGGATTGGTGGCTCCTTACGGGGCAAGCCCAGGGTATAAATCCCGGTCAGAGCCTGGTGACAGCAGGTGGAAACCCGTCCCCACCCGCACCCAGCCCATGGGGAGGGCGCTGGGAGTCACCGGAGCTGAAATCTCCACTCACTTTCTGGATTGGGGAGGAGACCTTCAAAGGGACCCCAGGCCCTTCTCTCTACGGATGAAGAGACCAAGACCCTGGGAGGGCAGGGAGGGGGCTGCGGCTGCGGGTCCCCAACTCCAAGCGCGGGAGTGTTTCCGCTCCACTGCTTCACTTCCCTCCGAGCGCCTCCTGGTCCAGCCTGCCCCGTCAGCAGCTGGGTGGCCGCCTCCCAGTCCCGTGCCCCCTCAAGCAGCACCGACTGAGACTCCCCCACTGGTGAGCAAGGCTGTGGGCTAGGTTGCCCCCAGGGAGCCCCTTTGTACACTCAAGTCTCCGGGGGACGCAGATCCAGAATTTGGTCCTGAGGCCTCCCGGGGGAGGGAGTATTTGAGCAAGGACAGGCCCCTCTTGCCCCTCAGCTGGGTGGGGCAGACAGAGCATGAGCTTTGGGATCAGGCAGCCCTCAGTTCAAATCCCAGCCCGGCTGCTTGCGAGCCGTGTACCTGGGGAAGTTATTTCACCGTCTCTGAGCCTTAGTTTCCTCATCGGCAAAGTCAGGTTGATGACTGCACCCCTTCTAGGGCAGCTGCGAGGACTGAATGAGACCGAGGCTGGGCTAATCGAGCGGTTTATGACTCACACGTGATCATGACCGATGCTAGCTCACGCATGGGTTATGGGAGTGGGCAGAGCCCTGGTCTGGGGTTGGACAGTTCTGAGTGTGAATCCTGGCTCTGATGCAACTGGCTGAGTAACTTCCTGAGCCTCAGTTTCCCCATCTGCTAAATGGGAGGCAGGACCGTTCCAAAGGCCTGCAGCCCATGAGGGTGCCGTTCCATTTTGTCCTGCAGAAGCCAGAAGCACAAGGGAGCCAGCGCCTCAGCTAGAGGGGGGCAAGGCCCAAGAGGGCCTGTGGCCTCAGAGCTCACTGGCGGCTCCCCTCCCGGGCCTGGGCCCGGGAATGTGTAGGAGGGAGGTCGGGGAGGGGGCCTGCAGTGGGAGGAGCAGCCCTGGCGGCGGGCAGTGGTGCAGTGACCCAGGAGGGAGGGAGAGCTTGGCTCCAGGCTCATCACTCAGCGAGCTGTCTCCCCCGGGCCGGGAACCCCGGCGGCCTGTCCTCCCCACTTCCTGTGCGCTGGGTCAATATTGTGATTTCCACTGTGCCGCCCGCCTGGGACGGCCTGGCCCTGCACGCCACACAGGGTCACGGGGCTGGGGGGAGACAGGGGTATGGAGAGGTCATCCGCTGCCTGGAGGATGACTCAGGACCTGCAAGGCTGCAGGCGGCGCGGCCAGGATCCAGGAGCCCCAGGGCAGCCTCACCTCCGCTGTCCCCTCCCAGCACATGAGGCACAGGTCACCGGCTGCAGGGGTTGGAGGCCTAGGAAGCCCACCATGGCAGAACTGGAATGGTGCCTCATCAAGGCCTGAGGGCTCCTCCCATCCAAACGGAGGAATTGACTGAGGCCCAGAGAGGGGCAGGGACTTACCCAAGGTCACCCGGTGAGTCTGTGGCAGAAGCAGGACCTGAATCCCATCACCTGACCTCGAATCCTGACCAAACCCCCCTCTCCTACCCTCCCTACCCACGCAAGTCCACCTACCTTCCTTTCCACCAGCACTTGTGCCTGACTTCCTCCGCGTCTGCGCCCAAGCATGGGAGACAGCACGGACCGGCCCTGACCGAGGACCACTGGTGTTGAGGCTTGTCCGGGAGGGAGAGGTGGTCGGGAAGATGCCATTCGGGACGCCCACAGACTGGCAGCTGCACAGACAGGGGGTGGGAGGCTCCAGCGTGAGAGTCCGGGACCTGTGGCTTCATTTCTCCTGGTGAGCTCATCTTGTCAGGGCTCAGTGCAGACCTCGCCTCCTCCCTGGAGCCCCCCAATCTCTTCCCGGCCATGCAAGCTGTCACCCTGTTCTGCCACTTCTCAGACCCCAGAGCACCTCCCCCACTGGATCAGGAGCTCCTGGGAGAAGGAGCATGACTGTCTCACCTCCAAATCCCACGGCGGCTAAGGCCATCCCTGGTGCTCAGCACCTGCGGAGTGAGGGGAGGGCCAGACAAACAAATGGGCCCCCTGAGTCTTGTCTTCCTACATCACCGTGACCTCCCCAGGGGCAGAAGCCCCTGCCCTCCCAATGTACCCCTTCTGGAACGTATTCTTATTCTTCACCTGACTACCTCCTACTCTTTCTTTAGGTCTCCACTTAGCTGTCACTTCTTCCTGGAAGCCCCCCAGACCACCCTACCAAAACCACGTTAGCTGGCCCTGTTCTGAGTCCCTTATACTTCCTGTCAGTGCTCGTAGCCCAGAGAAATGCAATGGCTTGTTGAATGTCCTTCCCTCAGAAGAACTGAACTAGGATTTGAGTCCCCATCTGTGAGTCTCACTATTGTGTATCTAGCTCAGGTCAGTGTTGGATGGATGGATGGAAGGACGGATGGACAGATAGAGGGATGGAGGGATGATGGATGGATGGATGGACAGATAGAGGGATGGATGAATGGATGGACGGACAGATGGATGGATGGATGGACAGATGGATGGGTAGATGGATGGATGGGAAGATAGATGGATGGATGAATGGATAGATGGATGGACAGATGAATGGATGGATGGATGGATGGATGGGTAGATTGATGGATGGATGGATGGATAGATGGATGGACAGATGAATGGATGGATGGACAGATGGATGGGTAGATTGATGGATGGATGGATGGGTAGATTGATGGATGGATGAATGGATAGATGGATGGACAGATGAATGGATGGATGGATGGATGGATGGGTAGATTGATGGATGGATGGATGGATAGAGGACGGATGGATGGATGGATGAACAGATGGATGGATGGAGGGATGGAGGGAAGGATGGATGGATGGATGGATGGACGGAAAGATGGATGGATGGATAGAGTGATGGATGGATGGATGGATGGATGGGTACATGGATGGATAGATGGATGGACGAATGAATGGATGGATGGATGGATGGATGGATGGGCAGATGAATGGATGGATGGATGGATGGATGGATGGGTTGACGGATGGATGGATGGTGGATAGATGGACAGATGAATGGAAAGATGGATGGATGGATGGATGGGTTCCTCACAGAGCTAGGCCCATACTAGGGTTTTAGGACATGCTGGTGGATGGAGGTGGTGGTGATGATACTGGGCTGAACACCTCTTGCTCTTTTCTCTCCAGCACCCCTCACACCCCAACCTTTGTCCACTCTCAGTCATGTGGTCCCCTGTGGGAAATTGCCCTTCCCCCACATGACTCTGTCAATCACTGAGGTTCAATGCTCATCCTCATGACCCAGACTTAGTCAGTGATTGTCCCCCACTTCTCTGGCAGCAGTGGTTGGTCCAAGGGCAGGCATGTGACCCAAACAAGGCCAATCAATCCTTCCTTGGGACTGACCGATGTATCCTGGGAAAAGGCAGCTCTCTTGCTTGGGACTGAGGTTGCCAAGCTGGGCTGATGGTGGCCAAGTTCCCTACCTTGTGGAAGGGAGAGAATTTGGCCAGCCCCAAAGAGAAGCAGAGACAGCAGAGGTGAGTGACAGAGAGAATCCTGGTGGCCCTGAGCCCTGATTTCAGCCCCGCAGGTCCCTCTCGGGGGCCACTTCTCATGCTACCAAGTTCCCTTTTTCACTCAAGCTGATGTGATGTGGGCTTCTCTCAGCACTGATGGAAAGAATTCTGAATGACATTAAACCAAGGGAGAAAACAGTGAGAGGGACAGGGTGGGTCCAAGTGGAGACACAGATGTTGAGCAGCAATGGACCAGCAGACTCAAGGAGATGAAAGAACCTCCTGCCAAGGACCTCACCAGAGACCCTTCAGCCCCACTGTGGGCAGGGCCAAACGACAAAGGATTTGCTGCAGAAAGAAGAACCTAGGGTGGGGTTGGTGCAGCTTTGCTGCAAATGACAGAAACCCAACTGAAACTGGCCCATTAAGCAGGAGGGGGAATCCACTGGCTCGCATAACTAAAATGTCCATGAGTCTTTAGCTTCAGGCATGGCTGGATCCAGGCACTTGACTGCTGTTGTCAGGAATCGTCTCTCTCCAGGCCTCCATTCGACTTTCTTCTTGTTGCATTGGTTCTCAGGCAGCCTTTCCCCAAACGACAGCAGCTTTGGGCTTCCAGCCTAACAGCAAACCCAACCTAAAGGGAGCACCGCTCTCCCCACTGTTGCAGCAAAACCCCAGAACTTAGTCCAGTTTGTCTTGTTTCAACCGCACGCCCACCCCCAAACCAGCCCTGAGACGAGGGGAATGTGATGCTTTCATTGGCCCCAGCCACGGGTCCCCATTGAGGTCAGTCCCACTCACATAAACGGTGTGAGAGAGGGGAGCGGTCCTCCCTACAGGGCTGGCGTCAGAGGGGGCAGGCAGGACAGGCAGGAAGAGGCCATGGGCTGGAAGTCACTCCCCACAGGAATGAAGGCCTGAGGGAGAGGAACGGGGCTCTTTGGGGAACAGATAACATTTCCTTTGGTTTGGATGGCTCTGGGGGAGGGCAGAAGTCCCCCGATAAAGACAAGAGGATGGATGAGCGGAGCTCGGAGCTACTCCCAGCCTTGGAAGCCTCTGGTTTGCAGCTGTGACGCCAATTGTCTGCAGCCAGACACATTCCTGGACTTAGCCGAAAAGGCAGAGTTGGGATTGGAAGATGCAGGAGCACCTCTGATGTCTACATCTGCGTGCTCCAAACTCTTGTGTGCGCCCACCCTGCGGGCGCCCAGAGAAAATCCCAGCATGATCTGCCCAGGCTGCCCGACCTCAGCAGTTTGTGGGAGAGATAGGTGGTGGCTTCCAGGTCGTCAGAGGGTGGCCACATCCAGGACCATGACTCTGGGTGGTCTCTGGGCCCCCCTGGGAGGAGACTGCAGCTGTGGAGCCCCGTGCATGGAGGAAAAGAGGAAAGTGCCCTCCTGGCCCTTCGAGGCTGCCGGGCTGCCGGCTCCCCCTATCCCTGTATTTGCAGAGAGGACCCCTCCTCGCGCCCGTGTCCCCTCAGCCAGGCACTTCCCCTCAACTCCCTGCTTCAACTCCTCCTCGTGTCTGTGAAGCCAGGGATGGACACGCCACCAAGGCAGTTGCACACGTCTTCGTGGATAAGGCACAATACCTTTCTGAGACTCAGTTTCCTCAACTGTGCGGTGGATGCGAAACCTTCCCTGCCAACCCCGCAGGCACGCCAGGACGATCAAGCGGACCACGGCCATGACCGGGCTTTGGAAATCACAGAGCCTCTCTCACGGGACACTTTATAATGGCCCCTGTGTGGGGGCTTGGGGAGCCCCCCAGATTCGATCCCCCCAGTGTGCTCCCTTGGAGATGGGGTTTGGGGAGAGGGTGGGTCTGTCTGGTCCGGGGGCAGGAGGATGAAGGATGGGTGAGACGAAGTCTGGAAACCTTCTCAAGCCTCCCGCTGACTGGCCCGGAGTTAAGGGGCGACACTTCCTCCTGCCTTCCCGTCAGATCCCCGCCGGCCCCGTCCACCCCTCCGCAGCCCCTCCAGAACCCCCCACGCCTGCGGCTGCCGCCCTGGTCTCAGCCGCCCCCTCTCTTCCGGACGACTTCCCAGTGTCCTGGCTGCTCTGCCCGGGTCCACCCTGCCTCCCTGCCGTCCTGTCTCCACGACAAACCAGATATTTAGTTATTAATATCTCCCCCTAACGACTCCCCATCGCTCTTGGGGAAATATCCAAACTCTTAACCAAGGAGAAAAGATAACCTGATGTTTCTTTTTTTAATTGTGGTAAAACACATACAACATAGGATTTACCGTCTTAGCCATTTCCAAGCGTACAGTTCGGTCGCGATAAGTATGTTCGCGTTGCCGCGTATCCATCTTCAGAACTTCTTCCCCTGCTCATACTCAAACTCTGTCCCCATCAGACCCCTCCCATTCCCCTCCCCCCAGCCCCTGGCGGCCACCGTTCTACTTTCTGTCCCTATGAATCTGCCCAGTGGAGGAATCTCGCGTGAGTGGAATCACACGGTGTTTGTCCTTTTGTGGCTGGCTCATTTCACTTCGCGTGCTGTCCTCAAGGTTCACCCGCACCGTCGCAAGTGTCAACACTTCCCTCCTGGTGAGGCCAGACATTGTCGCGCTGTGTGGATACCACGTCCTGCTCATCCAGCCATCCATCAGCTGACACTTAGGTCCCTTCCACCTTTTGGATGCTGCGAATAATTCAGCTGGGAACGTGGGTGTAGGAGCATCTCTGCAAGACCCTGTTTTCGATTCTTTGGATGTATGTTAATACCTAGAAGTGGGATTGCGGGCTCACATGGTGATGTGATGTTTGATTTTTTGAGGAACCCCCATACTGGATTCCACAGCAGTTGCACCATTTGACATCCCCCCAGCAGTGCATGAGGGGTCCAGTCTCCCCACACCCCCACCGACGCTTGGTATTTTCTGGGGTTTTGGTAGTAGCCGTCTTGCTGGGTGCGACGTGGATCTGACGCCTCTTAATGGGGGAAATACCGGTCCTGAGTGGGACTCCTGCGTATTGCAGGACATTGGTCATCCTTCCCAGCACCAAATGCCAGTAGCATGTCCCCAGTTCTTGTGATAATCAGAAAATACTCACTGGGAGGGTGGCACCCACCCCTGGGTAAGAGCCACCAGCCCCTGCTCACCTCCCCTGATTCACCTCCTACAACGCTCCCCCTTGCTCACCACCTCGGCCACGCTGGCCTTCTCTCTGTTCCCCGGTCACCTCCACCTCATCCCTGCCTCAGGGCCTTTGCACTTGCTGTTCCCCCTGCCCTTCATGCTCTTGTCCTGGAGCCTCACGTGACGGATTTCATCCCGCAGGTCTCAGATCAAATAGCACCTCCCCAGGAAGCCCTTCTCCAACTACCCCACCTAAAGCAGGTCCCTTGCTCTCTCCCATGTGACCCTGTTTTATTGTCCCTTGTCACCATCCGAAACTACCTTGTTTACTGTTGGTGTGCTCCCTGTCTCTCCACCAAGAATACAAGCTCCCGAGAGCAGGCTGTGTTTGTCTCCTTCTCACTGCTGCCTGGCACATAATAGGTGCTCAACAAAGGTTTGTTGACTGAGCGAATGACCAACCGTGTCTAATATTAGAGCTGGAAGGGAGATCACCCGTCCTTACAGAGGGGGATTATAGGCCCAGAAAAGGGAAGGGACTTGCCCAAGATCACGCAGGGTCAGAGCCAGGACCAGCACCTGGTTTCGTGACCCCAGCCTGGTGCTCTTTCCTCCACATCTCATGCCTGGAGGGCTCCTGTGCCGGGCAGCAGGAAATTCAGCATCTCTACAGTGCACAAGTGCCTTGGCTCATGAGAGGCTCTGGAGGGACCCGTGGACCAGAGCCTGCCTACAACCTGCTGGGGCTCACAGGCACCAAGTCCATGCAAAGCCGATCGCCAAGCAGCTGGCAGAGCGTCCCTCCACGTGGAATTACCTTCCCTCCATCCTCCTTCTCTCGCTCCTCTCTCTTTTATCTCTGGATCCGGAAGGAATGCAGTGGAATGGGCTGCACGACCACTGTGTCGGCTACTCCTGAGAGGCCGGGCCCACCCACACAGCCCCTCCCCAGATCTGCTCCAGTTCCAACTCATTTCTAAAACACTCTTTGGCCCCCTTGATCCATGGAGTTCCTAGCCAGTGTCAGCCTCGTGTGAGCAGGAAAGTATTAAATATTTCTCCAGGGAGGCAGTTTAGCACAGGAGTGAGCTGACCCGGGTTCAAATCTGAGCTAAGTTATTGGTTCCTGGTTTGGGGGATTCCTCATGTGCACGGTGGGGCTGCCTTCCCGCGGCTGTCGCGAGACGATTTGAGATAACAATACTGTAAGGGACTTAGCACCGTCTTGGTCCATAACTGCTCGATTAGTCGCCGTTCGCATCCAGCAGTGCGAATCTAGCAGCTCCCTGGGAAGTTGCTCCCGTTTCCATTCCCAGAGGACTGGACGAGGCCGAAGGGTCGCTGCATTTAGAGGGACAGATACACACGGGATAAATGCGTTATACTGACAACAAATACAGCCCCGTTTATGGAGTGTTTGTGACATAAAGGTGCCCTCCTGAGCCCTCTGCAACTGATGACAGACACAATGCCTGCAGCCGCCCTGGAAGCAGGTACTATTTTATCCCCATTTAACAGATGAGGAAATTGAGGCAAAGGACTCGTCTGGGTCACCTGGCTAACAAGTGGCTGGGCCAGGCAGCCTGGAGCCACTCGAGGGCCACGGGGCAGCAGAGGAGGGCCAGCCTAGCCAGGGGGGCGAGGCAGGCTTTGCTCCCAGGGCCAGAGGGGAAGTTGGTGAAGGAGAAAAGTTCTGCTTTAGCTCCATCTTCTCAGGGTCCCCCTCGCTGACATCCCCTAAACCAGCGACCCCTACCACAGCCTGCCCCACAGCTTGCCCTGCTCTAGTGTCCTCGTAGCACACTGCAAGGACATCAGACAAAAGCTCACCAGGCTAGAGAAACGGACAGAGGCCAATCAGAGAGAGCCCATAAGGCAGAGCTGAGTGTGTGGACTGTACCCCAGGCTCCCCAGGAAGGGGGAGGGTAACGGCAGGCAGCCCCACAACACCCACCCCTCTGCCCAAACAAGGCTTCGCCAGTCCCCCAAAGGGGCATGCTTCGATCCCCCATTCGAGCATCCAATCAGGCCCTGTGCTCTGGGCTGGACCTTGGCTGGGCGCTAGGGACAGGAAGGCAAAGGCGAGTGAGCAGGGTGAGCAGGCGGACCACTCTTGCGGTGCCCGCAGTCTCCAGGGACACAGCAAGTGGACCCATGTGTGTAACAGCCTTTCGTAGGCAAAGTGGCGAAGCACTGTCGGGGCCTGAAGAGGACTTAAACTCCTCACCCACGAGTGACGCCAGATCGTGCATGCGTCCACGCCTCTGCCGCGCCCTCCTGCCACCTGCGGTGCCATCCACTCATCCAGCAAGTATTTACTGAGCTTCTGTGATACACCAGGCATTGGGGAAACGAGGATAATTCACGGCAGATATGGCTCTTGCCTTCACAGAGCCCTGGTATGCCTAGGGAACTCCTACACATACCTCAAACCCTTACTCGAATGCCCTCTCTTCTCCATTAAGCCTCCTCACTCCTCCGAGCAGTGAGTTGCTTCTTTTCCAGTGTTCTCCTAGCATTCTATAACTTCACTTGTAGAGAAGAGAGACAGGGAAGCACCAGCCATTGAAAACTCACTCTACCCCAGACGGTGCATTAGGGACGTCACAGGCAACTTCCTTCTTCAGGCTCTCAGCAATTCTGCGAGGGAGCAAGTTGTCCCCCTTTTTGCAGAGGAGAAGATGGGCTCAGAGAGGTTAACTCTCTAGCCCAAGGTCACACAGTCAGCTGGTAAGTGAGAAAGCAGGGACAGGTACCTAAGGCAGTCCTGCTCCAAGGTCAGTCATTGCGCATGCTGTGGACGCCTTGAAGGCAGGGGTGGTGGGTCACACTGGAATTGCCCGGGTCTCAGCACAGCAGGGCACACAGTGGGTGCTCCGCTCCCAGCAGGAAGCTGAGGAGACGCCCTGGAGCCCGGCTGGGGCTGTACTGCTCTCCTCAGGGCCTAGGTGGCGACGTGCACGCTCGTGTTCCCGGCCCCTGCAGGCGTCCACCTTCAGCTCGGGATTTGACCGCCTGGAAGGCGCTTTCCTCCTTCCCCAACTCCCTATCCCAGGCAGCCTCGGGGACCAGCACAGCCTCTGTCCCCGCTGACCGGGGTCCCCCCCTCCCCGCCCCGGCTGATATTTGCCACCATGGTGGGGCTTGGAATGGGCCAACTCCTTCTCCACAATGTTTTGGGGAGCGGGGAGCAGGGGGTGTGGGGAGGGCTTACTCACATTCACCATCAGACCAGTCAGCCTCCGGCTCAAGCCTCCAGGGGTCAGCGGGGACCGGTCCTTGCTGGTCTCCCCACCCCCTTTGCCCCAGTGGGGCCTCCCCCAACCCAAACAAAGCCAAGCGCTGCTCCCTACAAAGTTCCAGAGCCAAGACAGAACACCCCAGCCACCTGCCTTATCCGGATGGGAGACAGAGACCAAGAGAGGGACAGGGACAGGATCTTGTCCAAAGTGCCCCGCAAGTGAGGCGGGAGCTGGAGTAGAACCTAGATTTCCTGATTTGTATCCTCAGCAATTTCCAGCACAGTTTGAAGCTGTTTCTACAGGGCCCCGGGGGCAACTGAGAAAAATGCAGTCCAACCAGTTATCTGATGCAGTAATAATAAAAATAACAACAACTCCCACTTCTGCCTGGTTTTCAGCCTTTCACCTGCATTACCTCACCTGTCCTCTCACCTGCTGGGGGAGGGGCATGCCACTGTCCCTCATTTGCTCTATTCCGGGGAGGAAGGGACTTACCCAGCTTCCCAGAGTGTAGGGACCAGGTCCCAGCTCCTAGGCCCAGAGTCACCGAAGGAAGGATGGGGACGTGCAGAGGCATGATGGGAGCGGGGGAGGCAGGGAAGGCTGAGCTTTGAGGGGGGACTCAAGCTAGGAAGTGCAGGTCGGGGGAGGCTCAGAGTGTTTCTCCTCCTCCCAGCCTCTGCTCTCCCACCCCACTGCACCTCTGCCAGGCTCTGCCCCCGCCAACTACGTCTCCCTCCCTCTCCCCTCCCCTCCCCTCCTTCGGCCCCCAGAGAGCTAGCTAGGCCCCCACTGACCATCAGATCTAGTTTTCTCTGCCCGACTTAGGCAAATCCCTCCCTTGATCTGGGACTCAGTTTCCCCATCTGTAACATGAGTGGGTTGGGCTTTGGGTTTGGCCTTTCAGCTCTCGTAGTCTGACCCCTCTAGGGAAAAGGGCGAGGGCAAGGTAAACAAAGGGCACGGGAAGGGCTGTGTATCGGGCATCCATGATGTGCTCGGTACCAAGTGCCAGGTTCTCTGCTGGTGGCACGGGGCGGTCAAAGGCAGATGCTGCCCGGGAGGCTCAGGGTTAAAGGACACTCTCTTCTCTACCCTCCTGGAGCCTCTGTTTCCCTGTGTGTCTAGTGGGGACGACAAACCTACCTCACAGAGCTGTAGGCCGAGCCCACTGTGATAACGTATGTAAAGTGTCTCACACAGCACCCACCCCCTGGCACTCAAAACTGTCACTGTCATCACCGTCTATCCCCTCCTTCTGGTGTGGTCCAGCCCGTGCAGGGCTCAGCCTTCAAAGGAAGCTCCTGACCTGACATCAGTGAAGCCAGGGTGCTGGCCCCAGCTCTGCCACTAACCCACTGAGTCGCCCAAGCCTCAGTTTCTTCACCTGCAAAACGAAGCCAGCAAAGATCTGCAGGAAAGCTTTTACCGACATGCAGTGAGACCGCTCGAGGAAAGGTGCCTGGTACAAGCCTGGCCAATGGAAGTTGCCGGTGAGCGCTTGTTTCCTTCCTTCTTTGTTGGATCAAAATGAAATTTTATGGCAGAGCAGAGTAAATATACAATAATGCTACAGCTAATATATATATTTTTTGTAATAGGGTCTCACTCTGTCACCCGGGCTAGAGTACGGGGGCACGATCATAGCTCACAGCAACCTCAAATTCCTGGGCTAAGCAATCCTCCCAATTCAGCCTCCCAAGTAGCTGGGACTACAGGTGCATGCCACAACGCCTAGCTAATTTTTAAAATTTTTTTGGAGAGACAGGGTCTCATTATGTCACCCAGTCTGGGGTCTTGAACTCCTGGCCTCAAGCAATCCTCTCGCCTCAGCCTCCCAAAGTGTTGGGATTACAGACCTGAGCCACCTCGCCTGACCTATAGCTAATATTTAATGAGCACTTACCATGTGCCTGAGACGGGCCTAAGGATTTTGCTAATTTAACTCAATCTTCCTAGACAACACCGTGAGGTGAGCAGAGCCGTTATCCCATTTTACAGAGAGGGAAACTGAGACACAAGGGAAGCAAAATGCCATCCTCTCGAGGCCTCCAGTGTTGCTTAAAGCCCATGGAGAGTAGACACTTGAGTTTATGGAGTACCTACTGTGTACAGTGTTTTAATCCTGTCCCTGTGTTAGTCTCTTCAATCCTCCCAACACCGCCACAAGGTAGCTACTGTCATCGACCCCATTTTACAGGCCAGAAACGCCTGAGCCAGAGTCAAACCCAGGTCTGGGTGACTGACTCCTCCACCTGGTTCTCTGAACCTCTGCCCCAGACCTCGCCTGGAGTCTGGCACTCGCATGGGACCTCAGCCTCACCCCGGGTGTAGGCCGGACCTCCAGGGCTCCAGGGCATTTTGGGGAGATGACTTCTCACATTGGGTACCCTGTAGGAGCTGGGGGTCTCAGGTGGGGAGAAGCTACATTCTCCGGGAGGACAAACTTGCTCCCCCAAGCCCACCAGTTCCCCAGACGGGCAGGGAACAGGTGCACACGTCCGCGGCCCTGTGCTAGGTGAGGGGGGAGCTTGTTTGGAAGCCACAGCCCTGCGTGAACAAGAAGAAACCCAGCCTGCGGCCCCTCGGCCCTGGCGGGAGATTAACTAAACAAATACCCGAACAATCTCGATTTCAACACTCGGGGCGGGGGGCCGCGTGTCAGGGCGCAGGGGACAGGAGGGAAACGCAGAGACATTTTACCACCTAAATAACTTTCCCTCTGTTTAGTTTCACACAAATGTACACTCAAGTGCTCGCAATTTTTTTTTTTTTACATTTTTATTTTATTTTGACAAATGCTCAAACTTTCCTGCCACAAATTATTCTTGGCCAGGTTACAAGTAGAAAGGCTGTGTGTATCCTTGCTTGACAAAAAGAGAAGGGGGCGGCAAAGGGAGGGTGCTTATGAAATATTTGGGTTGTGGCTTTGAGGCAGGATTTCTTTCCTCATTTTCCCGATGGTGCCTTTGCCGGGAGCCGGCGAGTTCTCACCCTCTTGCACACGAGCCGTTTCGACGTGGTCTAAATCCTTCCACCGCTGTGCTCACCTCCAGCTGCCCTAACGGGATTTCACGGTCCTGGTTTCACCGAGCCAATTTGGAATGGCATGTGGGGAGGGCAGACTGGAGCTGGCACTGATGCAGCGCGCCTCGCCCAGCCCCGGCAGGGTCGCGTGCCAGGTCGGGCTGGAGGGTCCCGTCTACTGCGCCAGGGGTCAAGGCACAGCTTCCGGGTGGATCCAAGGAAGGGGCTGACTCCGGGGGCCCCCCCAGGTAGGAAGAAGGGGAGAGCTGTCTGGTTCACCTCGACCCTGCCCCATCCGCTATCCAGCAGATCTGGCCCCGCACCCCTCCCCAGCTGCGTCCCCGCCCCTCCATCCCCCATGGCTCCCCTCCAGCCTCATCACTTCCCAAACATGCCAAGCTTTGCCCATCCCGGGGCCTGGGCCTGCGCTTCTCCCTCTGCCTGGGATTCCCAGCGCTCCACTCTTCTCGGGGAGGTCTCAGCTTGACTGTCACCTCCTCTGAAGTAGAGATCCTGATGTCGCTTCAGGAATTTTTTCATTTTATGAGCGTGACGCGTGAGTTTATGGAGTTGGGATATATAATTATGCAGTCGTTTTATCGATTAGCAGCTTGAGGCTGTTATTGGCCACTGCGGCTCCTTGTTGGCTGTCTTCGGAACACTTAGGCCATTTCTTCTGGCTTTATTGGTCTATGTTCTGGTTTTTGGTGGTCCTACCTAACTAAAGTGAATAAATGAATGAGTGAGCAGATGCGTGAATGAGTGAATGAGTGAATAAGTGAATGAGTGAATGAATGAACAAGGGAATGAATGAGTGAATAACTGAGTGAATGAGTGAATAAATGATAGTGAATAAATTCATGAACGAGCGAGAGAATGAACACGAGTGAACAAACGCGCAGAGCAGTGAATGAGTGAATGAGTGAATGAGTGAATGAGCATGGAAGCTGGCCGGAGAGGAGGCCGCAGCTCAGCTGGAGAAA